GCCAATCAACAGTTATCCATTTGTGTTCTCGTCTTGGTTGTCAAGGTTTTTGCTGCTTTCGTCTCATGCACGGCTTCAATGTTGATGGTGATTGTACGAGGGGCTTTCAAATCACAATCCTTCGAGGCGTTGCTCTGGGTCAGGTTTTCTGAGGTACCTCTTCTGGCTCGGAGTTACAAAATCAGGCTGGATTCAGGAATCTGCCACCTTGAATTTCATACGTAGCGGGTGTGCAAAACCCTGCTACAGTACTACAGAAGATCCCCTTTGTGTGCTCTCTGAACCCCGGTCACGATCGCAAAGAGGCGCTGCCTCGAAGTAGGGTCCCACGTTGTTGTAAGGAGCCTGTGCCCACTTGGTGCCGGTGAGGTTGCCTCGGAACTCGTGCCGACGCTTGCAAGGCAGGCATGAGCGCGAGAAGAGCAGCATTTGCCAGGTCGTGCCCTTTGCTACACGGCAGTCCTACAGTCCTACAGCAGAGACCACGTGGTGCGACGCTGACCTAACGTCCAAGTGGCAGTTGCCGTGGGTTCGGCCCAGGGTGTGACCGCCGCCGATGAGGGCCACGGTTTCGCGGTCGGTCCAGCCCATCCGATCACGGAAGGTGTCTCGGACCTCCTGGCACAGCTTCTTTTTGTTCGGAATCCTGCTCCTCTGTGCAAGCAGAGAGTTTCGTGCAGGCGAGGTGCCAGGGCACTGAGCTTCGGGGAGCGGTTGTGCACGAAGTTAGAGTTGTAGCCGTCGGCCGTACTCTTGAGCTCCGGCCCCTCGGGGTAGACGTAGATCAGGCCGACGGAGTGGCTGGCTTGGAGCCGATGCTTGGGCTGCTCGATGTTGCAACGAGCATGGTCCGTGTCGTTCTGCTCCGGCCACCGGAAGGAGTTGGGGCACTCGGCGTCGGACTTGCAGAACTTGCTGCCGCGGCACTGCGTCACACCCTCGACGCCCAGGGGGATGGAGCGATCGCCGTTCACATCGTCCATTCGCCCGAAGCAGAACTTCTTGGCTGGGCCGCCGCTCAACTTGATGGCTGCCGTGCCCGCGAAGGTCATGAGGTCGGACCAGCTGACGTCACCAAACTGGAGCTTCACCTCGGCCAAGAGGCCCCGGGCCTTGTCCAAGTTGGTGTTGTCACGCCACTCGTTCTCCGGCCAGTGCCGCTGCCGCGCACCCTCGCAACCCCCAGCAGCGTGCGTGTCGTTGATCAGCCGGAAGCTTCCCGAGCAGTGCCAGGCCAAGCGGGCGAAGAGCCCGGCGTAGCTGGGCACGTCGCCGTCCTGCGGGCCGTCGGCTGGCCAGTAGGGCCGGGAAGATGTCATCAGCGCCGCAATCTCCCGATAGAGCCTCGGAATGTCCAGCGACTTCAGCTGGCGATGGTACTCCGCCTTGCTCATGACCTGCAAACACCCAACCGATGCTCGTTTTT